GAAATTCAATTCGAATATGCCGAGATCCCTAATCGATCGTTAAATCTTCCTAAAACAAAGTCAAGTTAAAAGCTACATTTCAGGTCATAGCCATTGGAAAACCACATAATGGAGCACTATGGATTTCCTATGATATCAGCGTGGGACAGTCCACGCAATAAATAGAGGTCTGAAGTTAATTTTATGATCATCAATTTCTCAATTGAACGATACTCAATAACCTTAATTAATGAGGATAAATAATACGGTATAAAGGCACACAGATTTGAAAAAGTCGCCGTAGAACCAATTCATTTCACTGTGGTGACGATTCAATCGCGCCATCAACCGATTTAACGAAGAGCTAACGCTCGAATGTGACATATTGCGGACATAAAGATCAAGAAAGCAGTTACTGGGCTTTGCCATGAGAGCCTTACCTCTCTACAGTTACTAAACAACTAAAGCTGATAAAAACCGAGTGACTAGAAAAGATTTTCAGTCGCACTTACCAAGTTGTTGACAATGTGGCTGATACTTTCAAAATGAAACGACAAAAATACTGAATTACTTTTCTAACCTTCCGAACTTCTGCTGTCACAGTGTTTTAGGTATCCAGATCACGTGTGTTTAGGTTATTCCTTTCTCCGTCTATCACGTCCTATTTAGGTTGAAATTTTCATCAATTAGTGGTCATATGATAAAATGCTCACTGACCGAATTTGGTGGGGCCAGTGCGGAAAATATCTGGCTCGAGTCATGAATATCTGGCTGGAGTCATGAAGAAAAGACCTCGCTGCGTTCGGTCCGTAGCCGGCATGATCCCAAGCCAAGTATTTTTTCCGTCCGGCCCTACCACTCGATCAACAAGTGCACAGTATTTCGGTTTTATACGTCACACTTTTATCACTCATGATGCAATTGAACATGAAAAATGAAAAGTGTTGTTCTTTTTTTAATAGGAAATGTCAGGCTTTAGTGTTTACCCCTTTGAAAGGTTTGATTTTCACCATTAGATCGATTACAGTACAACCTAATTTTCTCTTTTTTTAACGATAAACTACCTTGGCGTGATAATCGACTCATTGTCTTCGTAAACTTTTCATTTTATAACGGGTGTAATTTGCATGATTGAAGACATAACTACCAAAAAAACCAAATGACTGTATTTCGGTTTGGCACTTCACACTTTTATAACTAATGATGGTTATAAAATAATTGAGATAGATCGCACGCTCTTATAGGTCAAGTAGCTAGTTTAAATGAGAGTATGTAAACACAGCTTGATTGGACGTCATACTTTTAATGTTTGCCGGCGCAATTTGTAAACATTTCAAACTCAAAGTTTTCCCGATACTCGCAAAATAATTTCAAGTACAAATAATAAATATCGGAATTGGAGAACAATTTGCCAAGTTTTGATCTGGGGCTAGGCTATCCCTCTTTCCCAGTGAGGAACAAAAAGGAGGAAAAAGAGGAACTAGCGTTTTGCCTACCTTGATGATCATGAGCTGTACGGCCTCTTCGAGGAAGTTCAAGTAAGGACGACAAATATGCAACAAAATGCGCAATAAACATCGAAATCTAAGGAAACAAGGAAAAATTTGGGAAAAACATTTGGAAAAATCGTTCTACGCACCCTACTTTCAAAGAAACCATGGAAAACAATCCATCACTGAAAAGCTTATAAATTATAGAAGAAGAGTTTTAAAAGTTTCTTTTTTCCAGAAAGTTTAGTTTCAATGTTTTCTCCCACCTGTCACGCAATTCTGGCTCTAAGCGGGCAAATAAACCTATGTATGTAAATAAACCTATATATTTTATAGCTCTTTATACACAATGATTGACTAAGGAAGCTAATAAATGTGAACAACTTTCGAGATTTTTTGTTAAGGAATGGAAAATTTCACGTTGAGAGAGATGCGTGTAGGCGAAATGTTGATGGGAAAATCGTAGAGTTTCTTTCTTCTGTCGTTTATTACTTTGGAGATTTGCGAAAATCAGCAAATATGGCTTTTGTACGGCACAAAACATTCATTGGTCTATGATTTGTTTACTGCTCATAGCTAAAAATATTGACGCAAATGGGGATCATTGCGTGATAACTGACCAATGAATTCGTTCCGCGCGACGTGGAGTTTTCAATAAAATCTCGCTCAATCAATGGGTGGGTAATGAACTTCCACATTCATTAAGCTTTGGAAGCATTTATCCCACAAAAGTTTCACACAAATTTTACCCGGTAAGGGTTTCACCAAAAAAATTCACTTAACAGATTTACATTGTTCCGTTCTATTTTATCCCACGTCCCATTCCACCAGCTTTTGTCTACTCTTTGGTGAGGTTTCCGTTTATGGAAATTTGGTCTGAATTTGTTGCTGATCGTGACACAAAGCTCGGAAGTTATAAACTTTCTTCTAAAACTTTATTTTTGGCCGGCAGCTAGCGAACTTACCGATCTCAGTGACGCACTTCATTTAAAGGACGAGTTCTATGGAATGTTTGTGTCTTTGAAGATGCAAGCTGCCTATTACATAATAAGACCCCATTTGCATGGTCTCGGGTACCACAGACAATCCTCCCCCCGAGTTACCCTGGGCGAGCTAACCCTTCACTTATTTCTTATAAAAAATTCAGCCAACCGTTTACATGAAGTTATAAACTCTTCTCAGGTACACGAGACAACTAGGGGGGTGAGGCGGGCAACTTTTCCTCATGTAAACACCTTGTCTCGCCGACCCGAGACGAGACAACTCGAACAGAAAATGCGTGCACACGCCATGACCAGAATGTTTACAGATATTTTTTTCCTGCCGTCCGCCATTCTTTCGAATATGTAACCTGGCCGAATGAGGGTCAGCAGATGTTAAATTTCATGTAAACACTTTGTAAAGTTGTCTCAGGGGGAGGGTTGTCTCGGGTACCCGAGACCATATATATAGGGCTTAAGAGTCCGGAACGCCACAGATCTTCATTTACTCCAATTTTTGCAGAATGTTCTCGAGAGAGTGACGTTGACTTCAATTGCATCTCTTCTGGCCGTGAATTATTTGAGGACATAAAATTATTCATCTAATACTCATTTTTGTTTGTTTGTTTGCTTCTAGAACGCCTCAGCAAGCCGAATTCCTAACTCGTCTTATCTTTCTCTCTCGTATCGGTGAATCATTTTTTATGATAGAGTTTGTATCACATTTTAGAAAAGGAGATTAAATCACTTCCCTGAAAATTTCATTCTTGAAGTGAGATCTGAAACATTAACAGATTGCAGTTTTTACAGAAAGGTAAAAAACATTCCGTGTTAGTTTTGATATTACTCAATTCCTGTTGTGTAGCTCTACTAATGACAACTTTATTGAATTAAGATAACTATCCTCGAATGTCCTTGTTACTTCTTTTACTGCAGAGGTGAGGTAAAGATCCAGCACTTTTTACGACTCCGAGGTAAATAATTGTTTTCGTATATATCACACAAGTACCAAAAAAATAACTGTATTTCTGTCAATACACCAAAAAAATGGTCTGAAACTAAACTCTCGACGGGCGATTTTGTCTCTTCAGCTGCTCAGCTTTGAAAAGAACTTGCCAATCATTGCCAGCCAATCAGGTTTCACGAAAACCACCCCTCGCTTAGTGGTATATACTTTGTGACCGAAAATAATCCTCTCTGGACGATCAAACCACCCAATCAACATAACCGTTGGAGTTCTTGGTTCAAACCAGTTCTTGCATCATGACATGAACGTAACGAAGGTTATTATGTCGTTATAACATTTGTGTGAATATGAAGGTGTAATGATAAACGGGCAAAATAGTAAGAATGACAGAGTGACATAACCGTGGTTCATACTGGCAACACAAAGACGTAACAACTGAAAGAGATCGCTGTATCATTGTGTTAGTGGTGTGAACAAGCAGACATGACGATCAAGCAGCAAAAGTTCAACAACAACATAGACTTCTATGACAATGGGAGAAAATGTTCTCTTCTTCATGTCGTTATGTCATTCTTGGGAAAGTGTAAGTCAGGTTCAATCAAACAGCAATTCCAATATTAGGGACTAATGGTAACAAATAATCCGGTTACTTATGAACCCCTTAAAATAGTATATATCCTCGATGCATCAAGATTTCTTTATGCCATGGGTATTTAATTTTTAGTTACAATGATTTTCTAATACCATCTACACATGAAGAAAAGTTTGTCTCGCTCGTCCTAACAGATGGTATGCATATAAGAAAGGAAAAAAGCTCGATGGGGCTTAACAATTTTTACAACTAAATACTCCAGGTAGCATGAAGGGCAGATGGAGCAAGCCAGAAGCTTATAGCTCCATTATGGAAGAATGGTTCGCTCCTGGATCATGGAAAGCGTAACAAGATCGATTTTGTTGGTCCATCAAGGGCTAAGAGACCAATAATGATATACTTGCAGACTATTCCGTAACGTTTCTACGCCTCTACAATACTGACACAGACACCACCCTGCAATTCCTGAACACTCGCTATCATGTGGTTCTTCACATTCCTATCGGCTAGTCGCGTTCATTTTGGACTGTATGATGCGCCAAACTCGCAAATAGACTTTTCCGTCTATCCTGAAACTCTTTAAGACTTCTTTACTAAATTCTCAGGAAACAACCTTGTCTCACACAAGTGTTTCTGTCTGTGCAAATTCCTGCCTCGCATCCTGTTCATCTACATCCTCGTTATTTTTTCTAGTCCACTTTTCTTTCATTTGTAGAAAAATCCTCTGACACAATGTACCTAGTATGCACCCGATCATTGCTATGGTGAGTTGCAAGAAGAGTCCACTTAGGTCTTCTACCTTAAGTTGAGCTGGAGGAGTTTCCCTCAGGCATTTATACTTGGATACCCAGAATTCTTGGATGAAGTCCGTCAGTCCTTTAGCTTTGATCTTTTGAAGAGCTTCTGATACTTGGATAAACAAAGGATTGTTCTTTTTAACAGCAATGGATGCTCCAGACATTGCAAAAGGTTCACCAACAACTCTGAGTTCATTAATGAAGATCATTCCTTGATTCGTATTCCAGGCCCCCGTGATCTGCGACGAAAACGTCCAGACTCCTGTTCATAAAAATCAAGCAAAGTGATGTGAGGTTTGTAATATTGTTGTTTTTGTGTGTATGTTGTGTTTTATTTTCCAAAATGAATTTTTTCTCTAATTTTGTAACGGTAACCTTATATCTAGATGATTTCCCTTAATAACTCATTATTGATAATAGTGGAAAAGCAAGCGGGGGCTAAAAAAAGCCATAACTCGTTTTTCACTGCCAGAGGTTGATCATTCTTTCATTTCAATAATCCAAATTGATAAGTAATTAGGTGATTGATGTCCAATGTTTTTGGTCTAATCAGTTGACATGGTTGTTAGATAACTGATATTTTGTGCCTCTATCTATCGCCTACATGTACATTCAAGTTCGTTTTTTTTGGCATAATTTTCAAGCACAGAAAAAAAATACGAATAGTGCTCGAAGATTCAAAAGTTTCAAACCCTGTTTTGACAGCTTCAACTCCTTCCCGAAGACTTTTAACATTGTTTTCTTTCATGTGATACCACACGTGGCGAAAATATGCATTTTCACTGTTCTTGAAGTAGTCGGCCATATAAGATCCGTCAATAGTGCCATACTTAAAGCCATCCGGTGGTCGCTCAATCTATATTGATGAAGAGAGAAAAACGTATTTATTAGGCAGATTACGGTCAAATAAAAAAAGAATTCAGAAATGAATCCAAACTGCTCCTTGTTGCATTTAACCTTGAGGTATTATTTGAAGTCGTCTGTCTACAATCTAGGAAACTCTCCTTTATTTTCATTATAATAGTATTAGTGAGAAAGATGTTTTTCGTCTTGACACAAACGTGGGATAGAGAAAAGTCGCCACGAGGAATCGAACTTCAGACCTTCCGATTCCGCGCTCCGATACTCTACCACTGAGCCACAGAGACTCTGCGGTGAGCGCGGCCCATTACATAGTTCATATATGTTTAAGTATTTCGAAACGATCAAATTTTTTTTAACAAATTTACCGATTTCAAATTACATCTTTAATAATTCAATTATTAATTAATTAATAAATTAACGTATTAAGAACATAAACTTGAGATCATTCCTCGTCTTAAAGTCTTCTTCCATTTTTGTTTCCTTGTAATGTTGCTACTCATTAAAACAGGTTAACTTCCAATGTGACAGTCAATAATCTACTTGCATAGTATTCAAAGTGTCGGTAATAGCTACTAAAACCATCGGTGTACTGCTGAAATTGAAATCCTTTTAACGGGCCAAAAATATATCAAAAGTCCTTTTGCGCATATACAACAATATGGCAAAAGTGAGGTTAGGGAACTGGAATCCTATCCAGACTTTCCAAGCTTACCTGTCATTTTGTCTTGGGTGTCTCAAACTGTGCATGAACCGTGTTAATCAGTAAGAGACTCAAGCTACTTAGAGACAAACCGACTCCATCTACTGATTTAAGGCGGGAAAGAACGAAAAACAAAAAAATAGAGATAAAGCTACTTAAGCAAGGTCAGTTATGTGTAAGATATACCTTGATGTCGTAAATGTCTTCCACAGGGGGACTTTTATCATCAACGATGAGAAAAGCAGCCAAATTAGCCGAATATGTTGACACAAAAACCAGCATTGCCATTCCAAATGCAACTGACGCAAGCCTAGCGCCGTTAGTTTTTGGTTTTGACTCGTCCGCTGGGCGACCAAACGCAAGAGCGAGAGCGAAACAAACTGCGTTGTCGAGACCAAATGAAGAGTTTGGATGGAACAGCTTCTTTGATCCTCTGATCGGACTAATCTTGTCCATTGCCCATAGGAAGATAATCATTATACCTAAGCTTCCAAGCAGAGTAAGCCAAACTGGAGGAGTGAAAGGTCTAAGATAAGACACCCAGTAAATTTGATTGTCTTCACGTTTCTTCTCTTTTGCCAAAAGGCGAATTCCTGAAGGCATATACGGTTCAGTAAAATCGACAACATTGGCCCTGCGAGAGCTTATGTAGAGATCAAAGCTTATATCACCCCTTCCACTAAGTAGTTCTGAAACCACGCCATTCCAACTGTTATTTGCTTCATCGTAAATTCCATATTGTCCGTCTAGACTAAACAATAACTTTGGAACTTTTTCCATCTCGTTGCATATCACTTCTAACACATCGATTACAAAGCCATAGCAGCAACGCTTTATCTCCTCTCCTTCGACAGTTTTAGAGCACAACATAGAGCCAGGCTGGCATGGTTCGCCAACTTTTTTCGGTTGGGACATAACATTGGGTGGGTACTCGTTTAGAAGGATTTTAAGGTCTTCTCCTTTTTTCTCCATTGAGAGCTTTCCATTAGACCAATAACCAAGATGTTCAAGTTCAAACATATCCTGATCTTCGTTGTACTCCATTCTGTTAACATCGTAGCGAAGGGGCACTCGGTTGCCCTGCTGATCAAACTCAACAGGATCTGAAGAACCGTGAAAGTTTACTTCAGATAGAAGTCTGAAAAGGAGAATAGACACATCATTTTCGGTATCATTTTGATAATAACCTACTTTTAATAGCATTAAATTATGGTCCCAAGACAAGGTTCAATTAGATTGCTGAAAAAATAGGTTAGCTGGCTTTAGTTGTAGTTTCTGCTTTGTAAACTGTGAGAAGTAGCTCTTATGGACGAGAATATGTCACCATTTTCACTATTAGGATTTCTAATGTGACGATCTTCAGAGAGCGAATGTATTGTTCTCTAAGGCAAAATGAATAATTACATTAAATTATTTTTTTAAGACATGACGCTCTTCTTCGTCCAGCATCTATCTAACATCTTGTATCTAGCAAGTTATTTCTTGAATCTTTTAACCGTTACTCACTTATTTCAAGTGACTCAAAGAATCCTTAGCAATTTGCACTAGTACTTTTACAGAATGAGAGAGATTCTTTTTTACCACAATTATCAGTAATGTCGGAATACAAAAAATGCCACTCGCGTCAACGTGTCACGAAATGTCTTTATCACCTCACAAATGTAGATGTCTTGAAAATTTTTACATCGATCTTGAGGTAAAAAACAAATCAAAAGTTTCGCGTGGTCTGTACTCTTATCGACAACGATATTCGACATAACAATGGTTAAAACGTCGCGGACCTACGGGACGCAGAGTACAGACCACAGAATACATTAAATCAATGTCGATTTGGTAAATATCTAAACACAAATTGTTTTTTTTACCTTCTAAATGTACAAATCTTTGGACAAGAGAAGGCTTTCCCTTTGCGTCCATTTCCTGTTACGGTGTGGCTAATTGAGCTCACTGCATCGTCCACAAAATCACTAAGCTTAACGTTAAGAGAATATTTTGGAGTTATGGTATAAACGTAATCCCAATGCCATTGGGAGCCTAAGCTTCCGACATCCAAATCACAGAGGAAAATCCAAGTCCAAGATGGAAAATCTTCTTTTACGCTGAGTATCTGTTCAGCGAGTGAAAGATTATTCGTTATCAAAATGATATTACTAGCATCAGTCTCTAATTTTTTTTCAAAATAATCAAAATTATCTTCATTGTATACCAGCCACTCTGTCAAATTCAAATTCCTTGGATGAAGGGATTCCTTCAATAAATTTACGAAGTAATTTGAGCTGGGCTCACTGTCCGTCACCACCAAAAATTTTTTCCAGTTTAACTTTCCTAAGAGTGCTAAGAGGGCGTCTCTCTTCGTCACCGTGCTTGAAACTGTATTTATGCTGGAAACATGGACCGGATCATAACTCTGATGTATCCCAGTGTATTGGTAATTCGGGTAAAACTATAGAATAAAAAAAGAAATATTAATTACGTGACAAGAGGTTGAAAAAGCGCACAAAAAACTAATTATAAAATTTTGAGCCATCTTTAAAATTGCTGATTTAGAATCTACAGGAGCGTTGCACTAATTAATTGAAAGAAATGAAGCATAGTTGGCTAGGGCTGTTATCATTTCTTGTTTTTTCTTTTTTTTTTTCCAAGTTTTTTAGGTAATAAACCAAAAATATTGTTTTGTTAGTCATTCATGAAATAAACTATAACTGGAGACAACGTGATCAATTGTTTTAGAAAGATTAAGCCCCCGAAAATAATGCTAATTATTGACTCTTCCACCCAGGATAGACGTGAATCTACGCCATAGGCAGGGGAACTACCGATACTGACATCATGTTACACGATGCTCATCTGAACACCTTAATCGCATAACAAGTTTCTCTCTCTCTGACAAGCTACCTCTCGTCTGGGGAAGTCGCCGTTTGCAGTTGAAAATGATTATACTTTTATTAATTTTTCATTTTTTCCACAGTTTTTAATTCGCATAATAAAGAGACTAACACATTTAATTCTCGTCAAAACTAAAAGTTCGTTTTAACAGCGAGCCCCACGTTTTTAAAATTAAACAGTTATCACTGGTTTGGAATGTCCAGTTAGTATTTCCCGCGAGATTTTTGTAGCGCTTTTGGGCTAAACCACGTTCAAGAAGAAATAAACTGTCAATTCTTTACTTACATGTTCACAGGGGATTCCAAGGAAACTTGGCGTCATTTATAAAGATGTCTGGTCATTCGGTGTTATCATTGTAACAATGCAAATAGAATGTTTCAGAAAATTCCCATCTTTCCCCTTAATGCACTAAAGAGAACATTAGGAAGTGTCCTTCCTTTCGTGCAGACTATCCCTACCCTTATTCAGTCGAGTTTTGTGGCAATTATAAAAGGTCCTGGCAATCATACATACCGGTGGTATAGCTGTTATAACATTTACCCCTTGGGTAATTGCAAATTCAAGGACTATTCTCGCCTTGCTATCCTCGGCTGCATACACCATAAAACAAGGACCAGTTTGTAGTGCATTCTGAGCAAGTTCTATTATTTCCGAAACACTCGCGTCGCTTTTAAGAAGAAGAGTTCTGTTCATAAACTTGGGAACACACTCCTTAGAATTGTGACTTGATGTGGCGTTCTCAAAAGCTTCTTTAGAGGACGAATCGGCGAAATCGAAGACTCCAATAATGCCAAATGATCCCTTTTCTCGAAAGTTGCAGTTTCCATGCGAAAATGCAAGGTACAATGTGCTTATAAAAAAAACGGCCAATGCTGTATTTTCCGGAAAGCTCATACCCTTTCTACCTCACAAACCATCACTTCAAATCTGCAGTAAACCTCCTTGAGTAGATTTGGCAAATGACACTGCTTTCAGTTGTCAGACATCAATGTAATACGTGCCTTTTCCTATGAAAAAAAAAATGTTTGAAAAAAAAAGGAAAACGTTTCATTCCTAAATTTTCTGGGTTAAATATTCAAAACAAAACCAAACTACCAGTATCATTTAACCAAGGAATGTCAACGTAAACCAAATTAAAGATCCTCGCTGGATGAGAGAGCATAAATCCAAATCTGGACTTCACGGAAAGCCGGCTACATTTAGCCAGACGTGTTGAAGATATCTGTGTAAAAACACACTCACTCCTTTTTATCTCTTTAATAATGTAGAAATTTCTCGCAGAATATGTCCAAGTCGTTGTTGATTAGGTTCTACGGGTATATTTACATTACCAGATAACATGTTTGTCTGTAATAAAACCGCACTTCTGGTGGCAAACAGAAGACAGTTAATTGACTACTTAAGAGGAAGGTATGAAAAAATATTTTATCAACCTAAATTTCCGTGTTGCTGTGTTTGCGGACGAAAAAATCTTAAGAGTAATATCTTTACATAACAGCGTCTTGCAAACCCCTCTTAAAGAAAAACCGTCATCCGTACTATAGATTGCATCTTTTAAATAGATTTGGTTCCTAACTGTTTACGACTAAACCGGAAACAAATCAACAATCAATCATTAGCTCGTTTTTCCTACTAAAATTATTTTTGGCAGAAGATCTTAAAGAAAATTATTTCATAATCTTTCGTACTGGGATTTGAAAGTGAACACTAGTCATGGGCCGACATACCTAACAATGCGTTGTTTTTCGTTATTCTTAAGTAATGATACACAACCCAATAAACCTCAGTAAACAACAAACAATCCGATCAACTTGACTGTAACGGCCGTAAAATAATTTGAGGGCAGTGTGAACGCGTGAAAAACATTCTATCTTTTGTCTTTGAATTACCTATATTTAAAACAATAACACTCCCATAAATATTTCTTGGAAAAAAAAAAATTACACTTCCTCTTTTTAAATTAGATTTAATGAAATGCAACCTTAAATGATCGCATCACGGAAACCAGTATCCTTACAGCTTTGGTTTCTGGAAAAAGTATGTTACTGCGTGACAGAAGCCCGTTCACAAATTCTAACCCTGTTCCATTATTTCATGGTTATGGTCTTAAGAGACTCGAAGAGTTAGGGTTGGTAATGCACAATAAAATTCGAGTAAAACACTATAAATTGAAATTTTGTTCCCATGATATTTAGATAACAATCAATTTGGCACATCTATACACCTAACAGAAAAAAAACAAGTGGAAAGATAACATTCGCCCAAAAAAGATGAGACAGCCATAAACTCTGGATTTCTTGCAGCGACGTCTCATGCAATAGAGCAACTATTAAGAATGTTCTCTTTTTTTTCCCCTTTCTTTCTTTAAAAGTATCTCTAACTATTGTTTCTTTATCAGATTTTGATTAACATTATCATTATTTTACGATTCTTGTTGAAAAACCTCGCTCCATTGTCCATAAGCCCTTCATTTTCAAAAACCGGCAATTTTTTTACCACCAGTCACCGAATTAGAGGTGGCTGGTGATGGATATTTACCAAGCTGCGAAGCGGCAAGGAAAATATCCACCGCTAACCACCAACACTAAGGTGAATAGTCGTTTTAGTATAATGGTTCTAAAAAGTATGATAATAAACCCAAAATATATAATTTAGCTCATTTATTCCTGCAACCACGTTGACAATATTTTAGGGCGGAGATCCCGCGTGCGTTTCTCGGAATAGCAAAGGATATGCGGAGTTTGAGTAGCCAATCAGAGAGTTCCTTCAACAGTATCTACTGTGTTAGTATATACTAAACTCAGATATTTTCATGAGTAATTCTCCGTTGGAGTTGATTTAATCTTAAGCGGATTCTTATGTTTGTTTGATGGTCTATTTAGATTGTAAGGAGAGATTGCTCTTAAATCCATAACTTTGGAGATAAAAGCCATGGGGCAAAAATTCAAATTAATGGAAATAATTAAAAGAGATGATAGTTCTAACCATTCAATAACATCACTTAACAATAATAACAGATTTAATGTTCACGATTTAAATGGTAAGTTTGACTAAAACAATAATAATTAAAAAGTTTTCAATTTGACAACTTCCTATTCCATCCAGTTGTACTCTCAGTTAAACTTTTTCCTTGCGTTTCTTGAATCGTTGACATATTGTTGATGTCAAGAGAAGAATTAATAAATACATTTGACAGTCCTCGATACAGACATAAAATGCCTTACAGCAGCAGCCCCCCACCGGTAAAATCAATTAGAAAATCTTTAAAATTTGGTGCAAAGTGCAAGACGTATTCATCATACGTAGCGAAAACAATTAATCCAAATAACATTCGATCTCCATCTATGATATTTTGTCTTCATCTAATTGCCTAAATTGCTGACTTCCTGTTGGATTATTACAGTTCTATCCAGCTGTCACACTTTAGGCAAAAATTTTGGTTTACCCGTGTGGAAGATATCTGACAATCCTGTACTTTATGCTCGAGGATAAACAGATGTGACGCAATTTTAGATTTAACACATCAGTTATATTAATAAGCTCAACCATAATAAGAATTTACTTATGGACATAATTCAAAACTTTTTCCTTGCGGAAACTTCAATACTTGAAATAAAATGCGATGGTATTCAAAATTCGTATTTTAAATGAGCATAAAGACATTAATTGTACTCACAGACATACTCTGGATCAGAATGTTTGCTTTCGCAATGAAATGTGGCATCTTTTCAATTGATTGGTCTGCGATTTTGTCGCACTTGCATTTATATGGATCAATCCTAATAAACGCAGTACCAGTAAATTGGCAAAACACGAAGACACCAATTCGATCTTGGTTACTGAGTCCACGAAATTATGTTTAAGAAAAGGACAGTACCTTGCTTATTTAACAATCTAGCCATGTTACGCTCATATCATGTCGTTGTAGTTTGGCTAGAAAGAAATCAATCTGGACAGCCGCCACGCCACATGCTTATCACGGCATGGAACGAGAAGATCCACGCGAAGTACCAGACACGTTTGATTAGAAATAAAAAAAATACTAATGTGTCAGCGAAGTCGCAGCCTTCAATTTCCTTTCTGTTCGCAGAGCGAATACTTGATCTCAATTCTTTTTTTAGCTTCCCACAATGAATACTCGTGCTGTATATCATACGTTTAAGAGCTTTAATTTCTGAGTGATATCCAGCCACTTGAGGTGAGAATGTTTTGATTGTCGAGTGCTTGAACAAATTCGCACTTTGGTGTGAATCAAGGCAAGAACCATCAACGAATAAAATTACATCTAAAGCCTGACTGATGATGTATAATCAAGCAAAAGTAATGTTGTCCCACTCATAACTCCAAATCATTGGGGAAATTTTTCCAAACGATTAGCATATAGCACTTGCGCCCCAGCATGCAGTCCTTTTGTTCTAAATTTGCATGAAACAATTATCCGGTGCCACAAGTCGCTTCTTCTCGGGGTAAACAACACAGCAATACCTCAAACTTTTGTCACTTTTTGAACGATTGATATACCCTTAATCAAAGCTAAAACTTTAACGTTGGATCCTTAATCAAAAATTACCATTTGCGACGATGTTTTTCCAATTTCACCGCTATTTTGGATCGAACTAGATATCAGTAAATGAATGGATAAAGCGATATTTTGAGTTTTTCTTTTGCCTGAACTTATATCACGCTGAGGAAGTTAAGGAAACCATCTGGAAATTGAATGCAATTAAATAGCTAGAAAGAGTAAATATCAATGCGAGCTTGGTTGTAACATTCCCCACCAATTTTACTTTTTTTTCATTTCGTTTCGTTTTGAAAATACTCAAATAATTCAATAGAGATTTACATTGCCTTATTATGCAGAATCGATGTCAATTTATTTTCAAACACGATTCGCTAATTTTCATTTTGTTTTTGAGCTAGCGGCAGTGCTCAGCCTCACCTCAACAGTTATCATAAAGATTAAATTTTAAACAACCATGGTAAAGGCATTAGTTGACATTAATTGATTTATCGAGTTGTGGATCTCTAGCCTCTGATCAGCGAGAGAGACTTATTTTGTTTACATGTGGCAATCAAAGTGTAAATATCTCTTTTCAGTGGCTTAAATTGGATTGACAAGGTCGTGTACAGACATTTTATTTATTGTGATTGCATAAACTGATACACAGACCACATAGGGCCATGAGGGAAATTACAGTCGACCAGTCACTCTTCGTTCAGCGATCGGTTTACAAAGTCCCGAAATTTTCTCCACTAAAATACTGTAATTTCTACCTCTATTCACATTTTACTAAATCTCCGTGGCCTTTTTTCTATTGTTTTCCACCTGTATCAAAAGCTCACCGAAGGTGTAGCCACTAAAAAAAAACTACTGCCCTATCCACACCAGCAAAACATGTTTTGTTAAACTGGTTCTTACTAAATGAAAATCATAAACAGAGAACTGAAAAACTTCATTTTCCATAGGATTTAAATACTTGCTTACTTGCATTTCCAATGTGCTACTGACATTTAAGTAACAAAATATTCAGTTAAGTAGTTTCGACGAAAAAGAAATTTAAACTGCGTTTAACAAAACAACTTTAAAAAATGTTGAAGCTTTGATGTGAAGGGGTATAAGAATAATATTTCAATTAAATTATTTTTCAACGATTTTTACAATGCTTCTATTCGCGTGGATGACCGCTCAGTAAAGGTTCGACTGCGCACTCTTTTGCTGTAATGATGCACCCCATCCTGAAAAAGTGTACTGACAGACAAAATTAAAGTGGCTAGCTATTTACAATTGGTGTTCCTCCATCACGATTATGCACAATTGCCAATGATGAAATTCCAGTTTAGATAGAAAAAATAAAAAAGTATTTGAAACTGGCTCAATAAATTTTTCGCAGAAG